CCGCCGGGGCCGCCGGACGGGCTGCGCTCCTCGCGCTCGCGGCTCTCGAACGCGTTCTTTATGTTCCCGAACCGATTGCTCCAGTTGGCGTGGCCGTTGACGACGCCGTTCGCCTCGTTCTTCTTCATGAAGGCGACGAACTTCCTGTCGTTCTCGGTACGCGGCTCGAACGCCGGGACCGGGGGCGCGAGTCTCGGCCCGTTCTCCTCGTCGGTGTCGCTGTCCATCCTGTAGCCGGCGAGCGGCCTTCCTATGTCGATCGTGTTCGCGCGTTTCATGCGGAGGCGCCTGTTGCCGCCGAATCTGTTCACCGGTTTCGCGAAGTCCTCGAGGGGCGGGGGCGCCGCGAAGTTGTAGGTCGGCGGTGGCGGCTTGTACAGCGGCGCCCTCCTTCGCTCCTCGCCCGGTACGGGTCTCGAGGCGAACGTCGGGGCCGCTGCGGCCGGCGGGGGGACCGCGGGGGCGCGCCGCGTCGGTGGCGGGGCCGTGTCTTTCTGGATCTGGGCGTTGAACTTGTTCGCTATCGCGGCGATGCCGCCTTTGCCTTCGGAGGGGCGGCGGTCCGCGCGCGGCGGCGCGTCGTTCGGCGGCGGCGCGTCGGCGATCGAGTGCCGGAAGAAGTCGGGCCTGCGCGGCGCCGGCGCGCGCCTTTCCACCGCCAGCGCCTCGTGGCCGCGCTTCGGCCGCGCCGCCGCCTCGCGCGGGAAGCCGTCGTCGTCGGCGCTGAGCCGCCGGTCGGGCGTGGGCTCGCCGCTGGGCGCGCTGGACGCCGGCGCCGACTCGGAGGAGGCCGCGGCGTCCTCGCGCGGGCGGCGCTCGGCGCCCAGCGCCAGCTGGTCGCGGTCCACGAGGCGGCGCGCCTCCTCGAGCTCCTCGTGCGTCACGCCGACGGTGTGGCGGCTGGCGCGGCTTCGGCGGCGCGGACGTCGCTTGCAGCCGTCGAGGCGGTCGGCCGCGTCCAACGCGTCCTCTAGGCGATCCGCTAGCGCCAGCAACGCCCGAGCCTGCGGGTGCTGCGTGGGCGGCGCTAGCGCGGCGCGCAACCTGCCTAACGAGCGGCGAACGTCCGCCACCACGTCGGCACCGGCGGCGCCGAGTCCAGCCAGCAGCCGCTCGCCGCCGCCGCCCAGTAGGCCCTGTAGCAGCGGGAGGAGGAGGGACTCACCGCGGGAGTCGACGTCGCCGGTGTCCGCCGTCGTGTCGTCCGCCGCGCCTAGGGCCGCCGTCACGGCGCTCGCGCATGCTGCAATCACGAACAACAACGTAAAGCGACCGCAGTACCCACCTACGTATGAAATTGTAGAACGAATGCGGGGTACGCGTTTATCATACCAGTTGCTCACGACTCACCTTCCTGTTCAGCCATGAGTGTACGGATGCGCGCTCGCAGGCGTCGTCGCTGCTCGTAGTCGGTGCTCTCCTCCAACTGCAATACGGAGTTGCCCCACGTTTAATGAAACGAGTAGGTAAGTATTAAGTTTCAATGATCAACTGCGCTATTAAGTTACTGATAACAAACGAAGCATGACGTTAAACCTACTCTGAGGTGACACTAGTACACGGTCCGTTCCGTATGGTGAGCTTATATCACGTAAAGTTCATAAGGTGACGGTGTATTTAATCTCAGCAGACGTCGGCTTCCGTTAAAATTGTCGACACTACGCGCTTCGGCACCAAATCATTGTAATTGTCACGAGAAAATATCTACCAGTGTATAATCCACTAGGGTGCATTAAGTCAAACATGGTCGCCTAAACTCTAATTGAACATACTCGTGCCTACATCCTGCGGGCAGTGAACCGACAACCGGCCAGCACAATTCTAACTTTACAGGAAGGTAACGCGGCCGGAAGTGCGCGCCCTAGATGTCCACTGAAAATGTGCCCGACCTACTTCTGGGACATTAAATTTAGATTTACGATGAACCGTGAGCCGTGGGAACGATGCACAATCAACGTCAAATATGACTCGCAAACCAATCACGACATGACTAGCGGTTGAGAGTGACACGTACCTACTACCTACTTTACATTATCGAAAGCTGTACCGACCGCGCCCGTTAGCCATCGCGCGTACAATTATTATTATTAAAATAAACGCTTTTTGAGTAGATTAACGATATCATTGGCCCAACAGTTTGCACTGATGTAGGCTGGACGGTGACAAGACCTCTTCGTTCTCCTCGTCGACCTCATTGTTGGTGTATTCTATTATTATTTTAAATGTTTTTAGCTTTAATTTTTTTTAATACAAAAGCGCCGTCAACAACTGTACGTTGACCAAGGACTGTCGGATTTCGATAGTTCCTTCTTTTTGTAATCTCTCGAAGCCTTGTATAATTTACCGTACATAATTATGAAATACGTAATTATACGCGGTCGCTAGCGTCAACTGTCCATGTAAACTCATAGTCGAGATACTGCTCGGTTAAGGTTCTTGATATTAACTTTTACGAAGCTGCGCCACCGTCAAGGAAGTACGTACTCAGAAAAAATAACAGATTTATTGCAAAACTATGAATCACAGTCTGAGACATGGAACTTTATCAAATGTAATTTTCATTAGTTACTTTCAAAAAACTTGTAGATTATTTACAGAGTGGTGCACTTTGAATTAAATATATGTACATATGTCCAGCGTGTTAAAGGTTTAAAAACGTCCGTTACGAATAAAAGTGAAGATAAGCTGATCACACGGTTCAATGACTGGAATAATAGTGTAATCGTGGCGTCACGTCTTTTCTTTCCGGCAAGTACACACCGGGGCGTCAGCAAATATGTACGCGCAAGTGAGAGTGGTCGTGTGACGGCGACAGTCTATCTATCGACGGATGGTCAGTGCTGCTTTCCTCCATGATTGAGCTATTACGCGAGTGCATTACGAGTTGGTTTACGTTGAAAAGTGAGTGAGTTGCACACTTTGAGAATATGGTAAAAGCGTATATTATGTAATAGGTAACAAAGCTGTGTCGAGTTCGCCACTTGAAATGCTCTCTAAACACGTACAAGTGAAATAAATGTGCTAGAAAGATGTAAAGATATATTGTTATTTCAAAAAAGCTAAATTTTCATTCGCATTTTAGTAACGTTAGAGGTTAAGTGGTATTTGGTACACTCACGAGCTTCCTGAGGACTTGCTCGTCCCAGCAATGGTCGAGGTCAATATCCTCGATGCGCTTAGTTGAGGTGGTGGTTGTGGTTGTCTTGGTACCGCCGCTGCTGCTGCTGCGTACTGTCTCCTGGGGACAAGAAGCAAATAATACAGAACTTTTCAAGAAATGATGGGTTCCAATCTCGCACTGGGCTAGCGTAAAGATAGCCTTATCAAATACAAACGTTTCCTTGTAGGTCTGTTATTTTATAACGTTTGTATTTTATTTATTCAGGTTACAAAGACCCATAAATGTAACATACATAATAATATAATAAAACAGTAATGACTTATTATTATTATGTACACGTATATTGTCTGTCTGCGAGGTGTGACGCAACGCGGGTGGACACCCACGTTGCGGTACATGACAGCCTTCGGCCAAAACTCATCCTTCACGAAGGTTGACAGATGTAGAGTGGGTACTCTCACCACAAATTTATTAATTAACCGTCATTATTTTACCCATATTATTTTAATAATTTGTCTTTTGCTTCTCCATAAAATGAAGTAAGAACTAATTAAATATTATCTCAATCGTGTCACAAATAATCCGCGTAACATTTCCGACATCGTGCGATTGATTGGTTACACGAACGCACCTGCCTACAACGAATCACAACATGTTGTCAGTTAGCCAGTGCACCGTGCTCTGCCAAAGGCGGGTATGTGCACAACAGCGAGGATAAAGACATTGCGATATTCTAAAACACATTGTATATAGTAAACGCTTTTTAAACTCTTTATTTATTTTTGAACTTTGATCATTACTGGACGTGTCAGCCCCATTATAAAACCAAACATGTATACAAAATCTTCTCGGCGCTACGTGTTGGCTCCATCACCCAACATAAAGTAACCAAAACCACCCTGTCCAAATAACTGCATCTTGATAGGTTCCCTCCGAACGCCCTCCAAGAGTAAATGATGTAGTATATCTTCCGAAGTTTCACGCACTTCGCAATTTGCATGTCACCCACCTCGTCAAATACAAAAATTTGTTTAATCGTACGTGTCCAGATCGAAGCCTTTACGCGTTGACAATTTGAGTTCTGCTTGAATTTCACGTAGTCTAACCAAGGAATACGAGTAACGTTGAAAAAGAGTACTGACCAATAATAATGAATTAGTGAATAATGTAGGATTGTACGTAGGTATTTCATGTTGTAGTTCTTGTATCATGAGGCGAACGGTAACGAAAGAACAGGCTCAAGCTGTAAAGTTATTCCTACCCAAGTAATTACAATCATATAAATATAACGGTTTTTAATAAAAGCATCAAAACGTAAAACTACACAGTAACGTGAAAATAGCGCAAGTTGAGATTAACAAAGAATCGGCTCGCACGCACGATCACGTTAGCGGCCATCTATTATTGGCCACTGAAGAAGCAACACGACTCGTAGTGAATAGTGGAAGAGACCTTGCCGACTGAATGCCCTTCCAACTGACACTCATCAGCTATTTTTGACACGCTTTCCCAACTTCAGCAGATGCTTGCGTGTGTCGAAAATGTGGATGAACTGTTTTGAAGATTTCGACACAACCACTCTACAAGGACTACAGGTGATCAGCTGTGATTTCCTTTGTTTTAAGTATCAAACATTTTCACACAATTGTAGGTGTTTTCCAAGGAGTCCCTTGCAATGTAATGTTGATAAGAGTATCATCATTGATTTCGATCTACATAATATAATACAATAATATTGTACAATAATATTACATGTCAAATTAATTAATTGCCTATAGAGATAGAACATTTAATATTCATTCACTCAAGTACGTGCTTATTATTTTGCGTAAGTTCGTGATTTAGATCACAAAGTTTCAAAATTATAAAAAACAAATGAACTAAGTTAGTTAAGTAAAAATAGTATTATTGATACGCAAGCATATAATCATATACTCGTACAGAGACAACGTTTGCATTTTGTTGCCAAGCGATCACTGCGCCCGGTTCTTTATTCCTAATAAGATACCAGACGTTACGCCGATTATAAAAAATGCTATTAGATATTTCAAATGTGCAAAAATCGTTGAACCTAAACTATAAAAATATTAATCTGAATTGAAATAATATGCTACCAATGGATGAATCGTTTATTGACAGACACAATGCTAGTAAAGCTGCTTAAAAGCCATGGATCGTAAAATTGGACGGTTCTAGACAGACATCTGGCAATTTTAGTGGAGTATGGCGATAGCACTTTTGCGGCAGCGCAGCAGCGGGGATCGCACTGGGGGCCAGGCTATATTCGATCGAGTTTATTGCGTTTCTATATAGCTGTAAACATCGTGTTAGCGATTGGTCAGTAGGTGACGTCAAGCCGCGGTTTTGGGGCAGCCGTTGAAACCCTGAACCATCGGATTATTAAAATTAGAGCGATTGATTTGCTCATCTTAGTAGGACAACAGTTACTCATAAAATGAAAACGTAGCCTTTTATAGACGCTGGTAATGGTGAAGAACACTTCTTGATCCTTTTTTTATAGGTAATATCAAGTGAAGGGACGAACAAGTCGTGCGCCAGATGGTAAGTTACCCGCCTGTCCATAACAGTTGCAGTGCCACTCAGAACTTTAAATCGCAAAGATCTGAGGGGCACTGCCACTGCGCCCGTCACGCGGAGACAAAGTTGACAAGTCCCTTGTGCCTGTAATTTCACCAGCACCCTTTCCCTTCTAAACCGGAACGCTGTAATGCTGACATTACTGCTTGGCGGCAGAAGTGTATTATCTCATCCCCCATTAATGTATACGGTTAATTAGTAGAAATTTAGTGGCTTCTCGAAAAGTTTTGAAAGATCTATTCAAATATCGTCAATATTTTGTAGAATTTCCAACTCAACACGATAAACCATATACTTTGTTAGATAGTAAAACAAATTAATTTTGTGAATAATAAAATAAACTCACTATTGCAAGAAATGAGCCTAAGCAGTTTAATAAAGATGCGACCTCCGATTTAAGAGTGACGTAACCATCGAAACTTCACTTTTTTGAGTAGGCGCGAGCCGTTAAAACAAAAAAACGTTGACTTTTTTGCTGACACTGACAGTGGAGAGCTAAATGTACAAATAAACGCTCAAGCATTACTACCTCATCCCGGTTGCAGCGTTTTATTACGGTGCAAATAAATTTTCAATTCACGACTTCCCTAACGCTTATTTTAGTTCTAAGAGCTTTGTCTTTTGTATTTCTGTCTACTTTGAATCAATTAACACTTTAGCGTAGCTTTTAAAAAAGTTAGTTGGAAAATGTTGATTCACTGCAATGTATTTGTTGTGTTTGGGGACAACATATTTATCAGACCTGTGATGTCAATGTATGGTTTATTTGAATGGGGAAGTTTTATTAACGTTCCAAGCATGACGAGTTATATAAATCTGTTAACATTAGTCATTAGTAATTGGCCCGGAATGTCCCAAAGGGGTACACGTATTCTTTAAAGTAAACTGTAAACATAATAATAATAGTAATAGGTTATATGTTAAATCATGGAATTTTGAGCACTCACTCGCGGTTGTTTGTCGATCCATTAACTCATGCAAATATATATGTACATTTGTCGTTGTTTGATAGCTAATTATTTCTTTTGATAGAAGCAAGATGCACATAAAGATAATAAAGAAGATACGTATCTATAGGTAAATTAATTTATGTGAACAAGATATTCAAGATTTGATTAAATTATTCAAGGACAGAGCATTTTAGTAGAAATAATGCATACAGGCTGTGAGTCTTATACTACCTTTTCATCAGAAGTATCAAGAGCAAAAAAAAAACAGTTGTTAATGCCAAGAACAACCAACAGTTACATAATTAGTTGAATGAGTTCGACGAGACTTGGGAACAATGTGCTAATAATAGGGAGGAGTAAAAAATTAAAAGGATGCTTATTGCTAGTTTTTTTAATGGGTTATGAAGACTAAAAAATCCTCGTGTTGTTAGGTAATAAGTAACGGAGAGTAGTTTAAAGATAAATAAGTAGAAATAGAATATGTTACAAGCAATTGTATTGCTTCAGCTATAGCTAGACTTATAAACCCAGTGTTCTGACAGAAAAGTATCCTGATGCACTAAAAGTAGGAATTGTTAGGCCCATTTTCAAAAAAGGTAGCAAAATTAACTGTGACAATTACAGACCGATATATATATAATATACGGACTAAAAAACAATACAGGTTCCAGCCGCATAAATCCACGACACAACTACTATCTTCCTTTACTGACTTAGTTAATGGACATGTCAACGATAGAAAAGAAGGACTAATTGTATTTGTAGACTATAGTAAAGCGTTTGATACGATTAGACATAATGTGCTCATTGATAGACTGCATGACTGCGGTATAAGAGCGTCGCTGCTTAGTTGGTGCAAAGACTATCTTAGCAAACGTTCTTACTATGTAAAAGTAGGTGACGCTTTGAGTGACAAAATGTGGGTCAGCCATTGACTTACAAATAAATGGACGACGGGTCTAATACAAAAACCACGAAAAAATTGTCCCAAGTCAACCTATTTAAACGTAGTGACATTTAAAGGAATATGAAAAAGTTAAAACGTTGAATTTAAATTGTAATGTCATCGCAGTACTGTCTAATTTTGCTTGCTTCGCTGTCAGAAGAAACAAACGAAGACTAAAGCGTGAATGACGCTCTGTATACGATTTTAACGCCCTAAAAGTTCGGACACTTTTTAGCGCGGACCCGACGTCCGTTTAATTGTAAGTCAATGGGGTCAGCCATTGTACGGCTCAGGGTTCACTTCTTGGACCCTTACACTACTTGACATATGTTAATAATATCAGTAATGTTATAAAAAAATGTGAAATATATAAATTCGCTTCGCATCTCCTTGTCTGCTCACGATAATCTTCAAGAAGCTCTTCAGAATTTGCAAATAGATTTCACTAGCTTGATGGTCGCACGACTCTGGTTTGGTGTTAAATGCCAATAAAACTAAGCTTATGTATGTGAGTTCATCCCACAATAGAAATTCAAGTCTAGATCTGAACATAAGTGTCTACACTCAATTAATGAAACCTCACTATCATGCATAGCACTTGTGGATAGTCAAATGTACCTAGG